CCCAAGACCCTATCAAGCCTAAACCCCAATCCCCCAAACCCCAAACAGAAGAACCCTGGTGAAGGTCCCTAGTCCAGCAGCAAGACGCTTTGGACAAAGCCTTGAGCCGGGTTGTCGGATACGCGGAAGCACGGCAAGTAGCTGGAGTGCGGCAGCTCCTTGTTTGCTGTTTGGGGTGTAGGATTAAGGGCTTTAGGGGTTTAGGGCTTTAGGGCTTTAGGGTTTAGGGTTTAGGGCTTTAGGGTTTAGGGTTTGGGGTTTTGCCGGACTTAATGAGTACAGTTATAAGTACCTTTATTGGGGTGATACGTAATCAGAAGTATAGTTTATCTCATTTATAACCCTAGTTACTAAGTCCCATGAACGTTTAAGTAGGGTTGGAGAACGACACTGCTTGCGTGTCTCAGTTAGTCTGTTTTGTGTGTGCCTTGTCTTTGTTGTTGTGTACTTCGGTGTTTGTCTGCTTGTTTGCTATATGAACTCTGTGTGTGATTTGGTTACTCTATGTTGGGTTTGTTTCTGAAATACTCTTACTCTTATCTGGCTCTGTTCTCCTTAAAGCAACCTGATAGTTTTTTTTGACACCAAGGTCCTACTATGAAGCCAAAGACATCTTCACCAGCTGGACTGTCTCGCGTGTTGGACGCTAGAACTTCGACGGAGGGCATAAGATGAAGACGACAGAGTTATGTTACCCTAGTAGGGCTCGCGTGCAGAGTGCTCTACACGCGCAGCCCATTTACTGGGCTTTGGAGTACCATACTTTAATACTCTTTTTGGGACCTGTTCCTTAAAGGGACCATTCTGAAATAAAAGTCTATACTTTTTTCTCCCTGGTTACTTCAAAGCCCAGTTTAACGCATCGTGTTCCGTGACTTGGGAGCTCGGCGCCAGTTCCGATCCCCAACTTTCGTCATGCCGTGAGTCGCCTTGCGGCACTTGCTTACATGTCTACGAGTCTACCCACTGTGACTGTCAAAAAGCTGCTCGCAGGGATTCAGGGTTCTGGGCTTATGTAACCCAGTTATAACCCTAAACCCTAAACCCTAAACCCTAAAACCTAAAACCCTAAATAACTGGAGCTCTAGGGCGAGAAACAATCATGAATCTGGCACCGCCGCTACAGCCTTCCGCAAGCTCATACTGAATATAACAATCATGATGCAAAGCCCCAAAAAGGCGCACGACGCACAGTGAAGGTTTAGGGTTTAGGGTTTAGGGTTTCCGTCAAAAGGCCCTTAATGCAAGACACTCGGAAGCTCCAGTTGCCGCATGCCCCAACTAACCCATGCATTTGCCGATAAAATCGTGTATGCGCATGATTTAAGAACCGAAAAACAGTCGGGTTTGAAGGGCATACCCTAAAGCCTATGGGAACCCCCCCCAAACCTTTAGCATCAAATCCCAAAACCCTGAACCCCTGCGACCTGGCAGGTGCGGCGGCGCCCGCAGCTCCAGCAGTGACCGAGACCTCCAACGCAGGCTTCCTGAACATGTCTGGGTGTTGGTGCTTTTGGGGGTTCGGGTTTCGGGTTCAGGGTTCTGGTCCTTTTTGGGTTTGGGGTTTAAACTAGTCAATGTAGGAGCCTGATGCCCCTCTTCCTCTTGGGGCCCTTCGAAAGGACTTTAGTTTTTTGGCGGATGTGTTCGAAGCAGAGGGGGTTATCAATCAGACTGCCAGGGTATACCTTAACCCAACAGAACTTACTTTCTTTATAGGTCCCGCTAAATCCCCTATTAGGGTTTATAATAAGAACCTACAAAAAAAGTGGGTTTTGTTTGGTCAAGGTTGGGCCTTTGCGATTGGGGTGGGGGTTGGATGCGATCAACAAGCCCTTTCAGAAAGTGTGTGTCTGGTCGAGGTCTTGGGGTTTGGGCTGGGGAGGCTGTCGGAGGTTTCTGAGTTTGGAAGAATTCAGGGCACAATCGGAGTGGCTTGAGCTTTGGCGAAAGTTTGGGGGACGGTAGTGCCAGGAAGGCTGTAGGGGTTTAGGGCTTTAGGGCTTTAGGGCTTTAGGGCTTTAGGGCTTTAGGGGTTAGGGCTTTAGGGGATTAGGGTTTAGGGTTTACGGTTTAGGGTTTAGGAGGGAATGTAACTTAAATCTTATTTGAGTTCCTACTAGAATTTAGGGTGGATTCCGTAATGAAGGGGTCTTTACCTTTAAATTCTGGCAGGGGCCACAGCAGAGGTACCTGCTGCAGGCACGCATGCCAAGCTCACAACCTCAAGGGTTTAGGGCTTAATTCCTACAAACGGTTAAGCGTTATAATATAGGGGTCTGAAGAATTACCTATATTAGTTTGGGGGTTGCTTATCATGAGTATTACTATAAAGGATCCCAACACCCTATTCTAATTCTTAAGGCCCCTACATTAAGCGGTTTTAAAGGGGTTCGACTTAAGGTTCAACGAGGGGTTTGGGTTTAGGGTTGCTTGAGAGGGTTGAAGGCTTTATAGGTTTCAATGTCTAGACTATAAGGTCGATGAGACGCAGAGTTTTGGGGCTATTGAAATCTATGAGATAAGGAGGATACCCGAAGGCTCTAAGGACTTATTTGTTCAGGCTTTTGGGCCTAAAGACCATACTATATAAGGCTTTTGGTCTGTTTTGAGCCTTCGGGATAGTGAGAAGTCGAAGCCTATACTGTAGAAGTTAAAGCTGGGAGCTGATGCTCATAAGCCAGTGGCAGGATTTGTTTCAACACCAATCTTGTTCTTGGTGGAGTTCAGGGTTTGAAGTTTTGGGTTTGGAGTTTCTAAGATCCCCGCGGGGGCTGCAGACTTCTAGCCTTTCAAGGATTTCTTTGACCGATACCGGTAAGGGAACCTTCAAAGAGACCCCAAAACGCAACTCCTAAAAGGAACCCTGAAAGGAAGCCTAGAATGGAAACCCTCCATCCAGCAAGGACCTGCTACTACAGTAGCAAGTTTAGGGTCTCGGGTTTAGGGTTTGGGGGTTTAAGGTTTAGGGTCTAGGGGCCTTAGGGTTTAAGTACGATCAAGTATCGTCTACAGGGTCTCCGTGAGACGTCGTTTTGATGATCTGGTTTCCTCAGGGTTCGCTCCCCTAAGAATTTTCGCAAAGCCTGTGCCCCCAGGATGTTCGCCGCATCCCGAAGCCCCAACCCCTATACCCTAAACCCGAAGCCCTAAACCCCAAACCCTGAACCCGAAAAAAACCCTAAACCCTAAACACCCCAAAAACCCAAAAGAAGCCCTAAACCCTAAACACCCCCCAAAAACCCTAAACCCTAAACCTTACACGAACCCCTAAAGCCCTACGGCGCACAGGCCAGAAAACGGAGGGCTCTCCAAAGAAGGCGGAGGAGAAGAAAGAAGGCGGGGTTCATAGAGTTTACAGGGCTTTAGGGTTTAGGGCTTTAGGATTTACAGGGTTTAGGGTTTAGGGCTTCAGGGTTTAGGGCTTCAGGGTTTAGGGCTTTAGGGTTTAGGGTTTAGGGCTTGAGAGTTTTTTTTGGGCTTACGGTTTAGGGCTTGAGGGTTTTGGGAGTAGCCAAACTACGGACTTTAACACGGACCCTAATTTCGAATCGCCGCCTGGTGTCGTTTAGCCCTTACATCTTTTTAGGGGATTAAGGTTCCGTGGTACAATCTAAGGTTAGAAGTTTGGGCCCCTAATATGGACCCTAAGGCCTTTCCAGGGACCCTTCAGGGTACATATAGGGTATATAGTAGGTGTATAGGGATCCCAGGGTTAAGGGCCCATACAACCTTAGATACACGCAAGGGAAATACTTCAGGAACAAGACTACTTAGTAGTATTCTTGTTTGGAACGCCTTCTGTTACAATAGTATTAGATTACGGTTTGGGTTCAGGGTCTTTAGTTTTTAGGGTTTTATGTTGTAATACCCCAAAGCCCGGTTCTAAGTATTCAGGGCCCTACATGAGGTACCTTGAAAGGAGCCCTCACCCGGAAGTGGTGTTTTTTTTTTTTGCTGTGGCCCCGCCGGGTCTTTTTAGACCCAATGTAGTACACCAGACATTTTTTGTTATTGGCTCGCCGACTTCGGCGGGGCCGCAGCAAAAAGAAAAACACCACCCGGGCCTTGCCCCA